TAGTAGGCCGAGTTTCACATCATCCACCTTATTTTTTAGAAAGTGTCCATTTGTAGGGCCAGGGATCATCTCTTTCTACACTCTCTAGAAGCACGTGTGTTTCGGATTGGATATATGTTCGGCCCAAGTTTTTTAAGCGTGAAAATTCCGATAATTTAGATTATCGTGTTAACTCGGAATCTCATCATTTAGTTAGTCATGGTGATGTAAGAAGACGGTTAAAAATTGGCTGAAAAGAGTCTTTTGTTAGACATTATTAAGTCATTACTGCTTGTTGAGTTGAGTGTACGTGAGATCAAAAATCTTGCTACATCATATAATGGGACCGCAAGTAGATTAACTATATTTGGTTAGACCGGCTTACATGTTGTTGTCTTAATTTTCTAATTTCCTCCGCCAAGAACAAATAGTAAAAGTGCCAAATACCTAACCGAAACCCCACCGATGAATGAGATCTCGCGTGTTACACGTAACTTTCTTCAACGAGTTAAATGGACAGTTGTCAATTTTCGGCCATACTATAACCCAAATAATTGATGATGATGTCATATCGTGCAGCTTGATATATTCCATTGTCGACTCGCTTATCTTAAATTCCAAAGTAGAATTTCGTCCTGATGAGTTGATTGTCCGGAAAGAGCACAAACTACAAATCACGGTGGTTAGCCGCCAATCTAGATCATAGCGTGAAGCGAGGGGCCAAAAAAGTCAAGGTCTTCCACAAACTTGCTTGCTTTTGCCGCAACTTTCCAAGTCTTTGCTTCCCCACCAGAGAAAGGGGTAAGGCAAAAGCCGATAACGACCTCACTTTAAAAAAAGCAAAAAGTCTCCGGTCAACGTTCAAAGTTGGAGGGCTTCTAGCTGCTTTCGTGAATTTCCTCGAAGGTGATGTGCGTGTAATCACGTGTTCACCAGCTCACGTGGAGGTATTTACACCTATCTCTATGGTGGTTGACGTGACAAGCACATGGATCACAATTACGGCAAGACGGGAGACCGATATTTATAGTGGAAATATTGTATAAAGTCAACTCATAACCACGACATAACGATCATATGGAAATTTGGGCTTTCAGCGGAATTCGGTGTAGGATTTTCACAATCTCTCTTAAATGTTCTAAGAAATTAGAATGTCTGACGAAACTATGGAAATTCATCCATTATACTTTTCAATTTGCCTCTGACTCCAGAGGCGCGAATGATAATCATTTTCTTCCCTAACCCTATTTCTGGCTAGATTTATTTATATTCCCTAAACGAGTTTCTGAGCAAAAAATAGTGTTTGATAACGACGCAAAATTTTTGTTCCGAAAATATAAATTCGTTTGATAAGTTATTCTTAAATTTCTGTTTAGGCGAAAGGCGGGTGGCGACGGGCGTCGCAATGGGGGGCAGCAGCAGGCGATGAGGGCGAGCAATAAAGAGAGTTGTTATTTTTGATAGAAAAGTAAAAAAAAAAATCTACTTCTCATTTATGTTCCAAACCCATTTCTGGGCAAAAAATTTGTCCGAAATAAAAATGAAATCGCATTCTTGCAAACAGTTTGCTTCAAACCTCTTTATTTTCCTTCTTGAAATGAAAAGGAATGAGCTGAGATAAGTCACGATCCAAGAGCGTGAACGCACGGATACTCGATTCGTGTAATCATAATGCTAACCCAATCAAAGGTTCGAGGAGAGTTGAAATTGCATAGCCAAGATTGGCCAGCTACTAAAGTCTGTCAAATTTCTCCGACCAAAAAAAAAGTCTGTCAAATTTCCACCTTTGCCCTAGTTCATAACATGCATTTCCTTCTCCCCTGCTTGCTCTGCTTATGCTGATGGGGAACATGTAAAATCAACAACATTTTTTTCCTTCTGCAGAGGAACAACTTGTCGTTTTCAGGCTAGCGTTAAACTGATCTGGCAAATCTAGTTTTTGCCAGCTTTTACTGGTTCTAATAAACCACAGGAATCGAAAGCGTCTGGGTGCTCTCTGAAGTGTACTCCAGAGCAATGTTAAGATTAGGGGAAAATCATTGGCTTATTGACTCTTCACTCTTTCACGTGTTGACTGAGATGGGACACTAGTGGAGCGAAATGGAAAAGAACAAAAAGGAACAAATTCATCCACAAACGTCGTCATCTTAGGACGCACCAAATTCTAGCACTTTAACGAGGTTAAATACCTTGGGGTTCTGCCGAGCAATAAACAAAAGCAAACTATCACGTTTCGCTTCATGTTGAGCTGATAGATCTCTAGCTCCAACACCGGAGAGTCTCTCTAACCAGAAAAAGACTCTGAAACACCCCCAATTATGCCGAGACTAACCTCATCACCTCCTCGTATTCACTTCTTCTTCCTCTTCTTCTACATCCCCTGTCTCGTCTTCCTCTGCTTTCTCTCCCATGTTGCAGAGTCTCAAATCCAAGATCAAGAACAGCAAGTCCTGTTGAAGCTGAGGCAATCGTGGCAAGACCCATCTTCCCTCGCCCACTGGGTCGCCTCGAATTCATCCTCTCACTGTACATGGCACGAGATCACATGCCAAGATGGCTCGATCACCGAGCTCAATCTTGTATTCCTGAACATAAATTATTCGATCCCCCCAATCATCTGTGACCTCAAGAATCTGACCAAGCTCAATGTCTCCAACAACAATATTCCTGGAGAGTTTCCCACAGTTCTCTACAACTGTTCCAAGCTCGTGTACCTCGACCTGTCCCAGAATTACTTCGATGGTCCTATTCCATCCGACATCGACCGGATGGCTGATCTTCAGGTCCTGATCCTTGCCGCCACCAGCTTCTCATTCGACATCCCAGCGTCGATCGCGAGGCTACGGAAGCTGAGGATCCTTCACCTTTACCAGTCCGAGTACAACGGCACTTACCCTGAAGAGATTTTTGGCCTCTCCGATCTCGAAGAACTGCATCTCGGGTACAACGCCAAATTCATGCCGTCGCAGCTACCGCAGAACTTCACAGCCCTGAAGAAGCTGCGATTCTTCTCGATGCCGCAGACGAACCTGTTTGGTGGAATCCCAGAGACGGTCAGTGATATGGAGGCTCTCGAGCATTTGGATTTGGGAAAAAATCTGTTGACCGGAGAGATCCCAGGCAGCATTTTCGCTCTAAGGAACTTAAGGGAGTTGTACGTGTACATGACCAATGTGTCCGGGTCAATCCCTCTGGCAGTGAGCGCCATGAACCTGAGCGAGATCGATCTGTCCGTTAATAATTTGACGGGGAACATACCTGAAGATTTCGGGAAGCTCAAGAATCTGTCCAACTTGAATTTAGAGTTCAATCAATTGTCCGGTAGAATCCCGGAAGGTATTGGGCGTCTTCCTGCTTTGTCTGATGTCAGGCTGTCCAACAACAATTTATCAGGCACGATCCCCCCGGACTTCGGCAAGTTTTCTGCACTCAGAAGGTTCGAAGTGGCCTACAACAACTTGACCGGCACATTGCCGGAACAACTGTGCCATGGCGGCAAAATGACTGGGTTGGCGGTTATGGACAACAATCTCAGCGGGGAGTTGCCGGAGTCACTTGGAAATTGCAGTACTTTGTTGGTCGTTATGTTGAACAACAATGGATTCACTGGCACTGTGCCTGGTGGACTCTGGATGTCGCCGTACTTAATGGCTTTGATCTTGAGTCGTAATGAATTAACTGGCGAACTTCCCAAGGAGCTGTCCCCAAACCTCACTCGGATCGAGATGAACAACAACAGATTCTTTGGCGAGATTCCGAGTGCAGTGTCTTCGTGGAGGAACTTGCAGGTGTTTGATGCCAGTAATAACCTCCTCCGTGGCACGGTTCCAACTGAATTGACTGAGCTGCCTTCTCTGACGACGCTTTGGCTAGGTCAGAACGAGCTCTCTGGAAATCTTCCCAAAGATATCATTTCGTGGAACTCCTTGACCGCACTGAATCTTAGTCACAATAAGATCTCGGGCCCGATTCCTAGCGAAATTGGTTTTCTAAGACTCACGCAGTTGGACCTGTCAGAAAACCAACTGTCCGGCTTGATTCCTCCTGAAATCGGCCAGCTGAAGCTGAACTTTCTGAATTTATCCTCCAATCGCCTCAGCGGACAAATCCCAGACCAGTTAGAGAACACCGCATATGGCGCCAGTTTCCTGAACAACCCCAGCCTCTGTGCATCCAAATCGTTCATGAGGCTCAATGTCTGCAATTCCCAATCCGGTAGATTGAGCAAGACCAATCTCACCTTGATCGTGATCTTGGCCATCGCAGCGGCAATGTTCGTTTTGTTGGCGGTGCTATTCATGATCAGAGCTTTCAGAAAGAATAGGGACAGGTTCGATTCATCTCCGAAACTGACTTCATTCCAAAGGTTGAATTTTACGGAATCGAATATTCTGTGGGGATTGAAGGAGCCGAATGTGATTGGAAGTGGTGGATCAGGAAAAGTATATCGCATTATCGTGAATCCTTCTGGTGACGCCGTCGCTGTGAAAAGGATTTCGAATAACCGAAAATTAGATGAGAAGCTGGAGAAGCAATTCGTAGCAGAAGTGGAGATACTTGGGAACATTAGGCATCTGCACATTATCAAATTATTGTGCTGTATTTCTTGCGAGAACTCAAAACTCCTAGTGTACGAGTACATGGAAAATTGCAGCTTGGACCATTGGCTTCACAAGAAGAAAAGATTGTCGCCTGTCTCGGGTGTCGCCAACAATATGATCTTGGATTGGCCCAAAAGGTTGCAGATTGCGCTAGGAGCAGCTAAAGGACTTTGCTATATGCATAATGATTGTTCACCGCCCATCATCCACCGAGACGTGAAATCGAGCAACATTCTCTTGGACTCAGAGTTCAACGCAAAAATCGCTGACTTTGGCCTTGCAAGGATGTTGGCCAAGCATGGAGAAGCTGCTACGATGACAGGTGTTGCTGGTTCTTTCGGCTATTTGGCACCAGGTTTGTTTATTCACTTAACATTAGTTCATTTCAGCTATGCCAGTTCGCCTTCCTCATATCCTACATATCCTACCAGCAGGAATATTTAGATTTGTCTTGCCATTTTTTTTTGTTGAACAACAGAGTATGCTCATACGACAAGAGTTAATGAGAAGATCGACGTTTATAGCTTCGGGGTTGTTCTCTTGGAACTGACCACCGGGAGGGAGGCTAACGACGGTGACGAAGACATGTGCCTCGCTGATTGGGCATGGCGTCACATCCAAGATGGCAAGCCAATATCTGATGCGATAGATGAGGAGATCAAGGATGACTCGTACGTAGATGAAATAAGCAATGTCTTTAAGCTCGGGATCTTTTGCACTGCTACTCTGCCTTCCACGAGGCCTACAATGAAGGAGGTACTGCAAGTGCTGCTCAAATGTAGCGATCCGCTTTACAATGTCGAGAAGAAATCCCATCACAAGTTTGACGTTGTCCCACTCCTTGGAAATTCTGAATACAAGGAAATGCCGCACAGCGATTTTCATGTTCTTGAGTGCAACACTTATTGACTGTTAGCACTAAAACAGTCGAAGAGTGAAGGGCTGTGGACTCCCAACTTCTGTGAAACTTCCTCATCTTATCCTACGGAAAGACAAGCGTCAAACGATTTGTCTGACTGTGTATTAGTGCTCCATACCTAAGACTAGTTTCCGAATGTATACTATAGAATATACAGAATAGAAGAGAGATGGATATGTCAATTTGTGCTAGATAGATAGAGAATAAGGATGGGCACTTTGTGCAGAGGGTGTTGAGCAAACCTCAATATATCGAGGCAATAAAAGATCGAAGAGCACTTATGCTACTTAGACTTCAAAGAAGATAGTCATGTCAGCAACGAAAGGTGTTGCTGTACGATGAATATCACCGTTGAATGTCTGATCTTCTGCCACATTCGCATCTCAGTAAAGTTGGCAATTCCTTAACTCAAGACAGCTTTTAGAATCGCTATTATATGATGCTGACACAAACGGAACGAAGAAATGAGACCCGTTTTCTTGATACGATCGAGTTTTAAGAATAGTACAACTTCATCTCACGCATGCGCCACACTGTATACAGCAACCTTTGTCCAACTTGTGACACGCGGTCAACGCGCCAGACACACCGGCGACGCGCGAGTCCGGAAAAAGCAATACGGAGAGAGAAGAAAGAAAAGCGACCGAAGAGAATCGGGCGAGACGAACCTGGACTCCCTGACGGAAGCGACGCAGACGGTGGAGCGCCGACGAGGAGAGCAGTCCCGAGAGAGGAAGCGAAGCTCCCGGCGACATTGGAGGAGGCGGCGACGGCGGCGGCGGTAGGGGGAAAAGAGCCTATGAGGAGAGAGAGAGGAGGAAGGGCAGGTCGCGAAGTGAGGGAGAGGAGCGGCCATGGAAGAGGAGAGGGAGCTCGGTCGGGATCGGGGGAGGGGTACGGTTTCGTCCGACTCTAAGAGAGAGAGAGAGTGAAAGGAGATGTTGGGTAATGAGACGACTGCGTTTAGGCTTATATTTGTAATCTTTCGTGGGGAAAAAAACGAAAATTGGTCAAGAGCAAAATATACATGACCAAAGGAACTTTACTATATCATATGGCATAATTAAATATGTCATGAATAATTTATCAAATTAAATTAAATTATTTTATTTATTTATTTATAGATTTGAATTAAATTAATTTGATTGAAATAATCGTAAAAATAATAATTTATCATGTATATATAAAAATATATATTTAATATGCAGCGTGTCCCAACGTGTCGGAATTTTCTACTTTTTGAGGAATGACGTGTCGGTATATCGTGTCGCGTGTCGGTGCTACATAGGTTCCAGCTAAAATGGTTCCCGCTTTACCAGGAGTAATAAATGGTTTTACAGGAGCTTTCTTCTAAAGAGTCCTAATGTGAGCCTGATCCTTCATTTATTCACGACTTAATAAAATTTGCATCTCTTCTTCCTCGGACACTTGAGCTATCTAGGCTAAAAGTTACTCGATTTTTTGCTCGCTAGACTATTACTGGCCCCCTTCGACCAAAAAAAAAAGACTCTTACTGGCCTCCCACCTCGAAGTATGATACAACGAGACCTCAAAGAGACCCAAATGATATCCTGAGAAAAGGGTGGGAAAGCATACAAAATTTGGAAAACGATCCATCTCTTCTTCCTCGGTATCTCTTCCCGGTTTCTTCATCATGTAGAATATCCCGGCAGCAGCAAGACGAGCACCTCGTGTGGTGACTATGTCGCATAGATCAACTACAACTTTGCTCATTCTCAAGGAGATGTCGGGTTTCTGAGGATGGACAAATCATCATTATATATAGTGGGACTCAGCAATTCCTAAAGTGGGGAACTGAATTTAGGAAAGTGAAGCGTAAAATACGCATGTGGATTCAGCTGTGGATAATTGTGGAAAAGAGAAAAAAGAAGTGTCTTTCATTGTTCCAGAAACATGGGCTATTAGATTTGTATTTTAACTTCCTGAATATCCAGTCGTCACAATCAATCCGCGCTGTAAAAGTAGAATTTACTTCACGACTGAATCAATAAGAGATTACTTTTTCATTAGTACTAGACAGAACGGAAGTGAAAAAGCCATACCATTAGAGACACCACGGGTATAATATTAAGCTGCAGATGGGCTGATAACTCCAAGATATCCCATAATTGTTTCCCTGCGACTGTAAGATCAGAAGACGCCATGCATGACAGACATGTCAGGAGTCCTGCAAATTCGGGACAGAAGTTTATGGAAACCGTACCATCTCGTGTTCATATGTAGAAGCAGCGAGGATTAAATTTATAACTGTACCTTAGTATGAAAGGAATTTTCAGCTTCATTGGAACGATATCACCAAAAAATGCTGACTCCTCGGCCAGTTTCAACAAAGCTATCCAGACTATTTCTCTGAGGTACATGCCCGAAATCAGCTTCTCGTAAGTCTACCAATAACAACAAAATGATGTTACTCATACTCATGAGGCACATGAGATAGAAAAAAGAAGTGAAGCGACCTTCTCTCCCGGATTCAAACTCTCGTCATCCAGGGTTTGATCATAAACTGTCAGTGGAAGGTGTGACGACTAGAAATTGCCCCAGTCTGTGTCGACAACCTACGAGGACAAAGATGTCTGATCACCCACCATACATTTGCCATACTCAGTAAGTTCAATACAGCTTCTTTCAAGAAAAGCATTTTAAATCTCGAAAATTTAATAAATTAATCCAGCAGTATAACAGAACAATCCAGAAAATGAGACAAAATAAAGTTTGATAAGTTGATTCCAGAAGACCACAGTAAGAACACTGGATCATTTTCACTGTGATTTGCAATAAGGGGATAGAACAGGCTGCGCAAAGTCATGATAACGGCAGACATGAAGTAGGCTCTGTTTGTTAACACTGAAGATTAAGTGCTCAAAATCTTAGTACTGGTGACTTTGATTGCTGAAGATGGAAAAGAAATTTGACAATGCCTGACAACTGAGACGGATCACTGCTAGTTTTATTACCAAGCATGAAGGTGAACATGGTAGGTTTTAGCAACACTACACCTGATGAATGTGAATCCAGTTTGCTGTGTGCATCCGTTATTCTCATGTGTTGTTGAGACTAGTGAAGTATTTCAAGCTGCGGGCATTCAGTTTGCCTCTCTATAATAATATTTTAGGATGTGTTTGGTTTCGAGGAAAATTTCGTGACAAAGAAAATTGTTTTCCGGGAAATCCTTTTACAGAAAAATGTTTTCCCCATTTCAAGTTAGGGAATTCATTTTCCTAAGTTTAAGAATGCATTTTGTCTACCACAAATGGTTTTCCAGTAACTGATCATTTTCAGCAAACCAAACGCATTAAAGTCCAAAAAACTAATTCGCAGAAAATTCTTTCACTCAAACAAACACATCTTTAGTGCTCTTATATTCTTTTTTTCTTATTATGAAGTTAACAAAATGTACTCGGTGGAGTCATGGATCTGTAGCTGCTGGAACTCTGGATTGTTAGTCAGTGAGTTCTTTTCATTGTCAAATTTTACTGCAACTTAAGTAGGAAATTTGTCAGTTCGTTCATTTCTCTGTTTCTTTTGTTTTTGTTTTTGGTGATTAGAACTTTCGGAGATAACTGTGAGATGGTGTGATTAGTATTTGTTAAGTAGATTTATCTTTTCTTAATAATCGCCCGTGTCTGCATTCATTTGTATTTTAATGTTTTGCGCCATCAGCTCTGCTCATCAGTTGAAACCCACCGAGAAAAAAGATGATTTTGGGAAGTGAAGCTCGGTGCTATGTGTTGAGTGGTTTGCTCTTGGCCTTAACAAGGCTTCAAGCTATGACTCATGGTGCTGGTTTGCACTATGCACATTGAATTCAGGAATCTGTTGAATGTGAAAGATGATTCTAGGAGTAAAGTATCAGTTCTCTATACCTTCAAATCAGCAAGTCTTTTGTGATCCATGGGCCCCAATGTGCAGGATCGACTTTTATACGAATGATTTTCACCTGCTGATAACCTGCGAAAAATTTATGCAGATCATGCTAATATGTGATACAATATCTATGCAGATTGTTCCGAAATCCACCAGTAGTTCACCCCTGAATAATCAAACCAAATGCACACCTCTTCCCCGTTAAATCTAGTCTCGAAAGTGAATTCCTCTCAAAGCTTCATTGATTTTATTCAAACAGGACTGCATAGATTCACATCAAAACAGAGAACTGTGGATTCCTAAAACTGCCTACATTCACATCACTAAAAATTGTAAGGATGGTATATGTTATAACAGGAAATATTATCAACACTTGCACTTCTCTCTTGACCTTCGCAACAAAATGCCACGTAGAAGAGGCAAATTAATAAAAAAAAATGTCACGTCAACATTTTTCCGTAAGTCAAATTGAACGAAGCTAACAAAGGGACTTAATTGCACAAACTTGATAAGTTTATAGGACTTCTAGTGCACTTAACCCTTAATTCCATTATCATCTGCATTCTAGAGGTATGTGTCAAGCCGTTTCACCTTAATAATAATACATAACACAATGCGATGTATTAAGCAGAAAATAAAGTTAATCATGACCTAGATCTATTACATCCCTAACGTACAGATCGGGCAGACTTGGACAAACTATTTTCTTCATTATCCTTTTGGTACTCTCGACATACATTAGCCCACTCTACACGAGTCATTAGATCATGTGGGTCCTACGTGGGTCCCACATGACCTAATGGTTCTTGCAAAACGGGCTAGCATATGCCAAAGGTACCTAATAATTTTTCCATTTTCTTTTGAGTCCCAGCCCGCCCAACCAGGCTTGTCTAGTCTAAATTTTTTTATGAAGAAAATTAAACATATCCTAAATAATATGCTTGATATGATAAAGTATATTTAGCCACGATTTTCCGACCTCAACCCCTAGCTAGGTTTGCCAAGGGCCGATCATTTTTTAAAGAAAAGTCATTATATTCGATCTTATACTTGCCTAAGCAAGTGCTTTTAGAGGTAGATATCTTGCTCATCCAATTAAATAAGTGTCGTTTTTTTTTTTTTTTGGTAATCGAGGATCCGCCACCATTCCCTGGGGACGAGCCCGCACGGATAATCGGGGCGCCTATACCTCGGGGGAGACCAATCCAGCAACCCACCGCCAGGGTCCCCCACTTAAATTACGGAACCGAGCGGGAATTCGAATCTAGAACCTCTAAGGAGAGAAGGAAAGCGCCCACCAACTCGGCCATGCGCAAATAGGTAACAAGTGTCGTTTTTTTTTCTTTTAGATTTCCAATAAAAACCCTGAAGGAATCATTCTTTGATTAGAATGGAGCATTGATGAGATATGTTTGACCAGAATTATGGTCTAAAAAGTTTTTGCTGATAGACTCTTAAAATAATCATAATGAACGGTTGAGATTTAATCTTTTTATAACTACGGCCGCCAATCCGAGACAGTAGAAGCTGTCGGTTGAAGTTGTCTGGTTTTGTAAACTTTCTTTGTCTCTCTGTGGGTTGGATAATCCACATATTGCATTAACCAAAACAAACTCGTTTTCCTACATTGCAACTCGTGAGCTGGTTTTAGCCCTATTAGATGGCATTGCTCAGCTCCAGTTCCAAAAGTTGAGCTACCTGAGTTGATGAACAGAATCAGAACTAACGCATTGGACAACATTAACATCCCAGCATAAATTTCATAGTAAGACTTAATCATAAGAAAGCCATTCTTGAGAATCTCTAATCTCAATTAGTTTAAATGCAAGACCTAATCGTGAGAAAGTAACTCACAAAAATCTGGGAGATGTCCCTATAAAACTATTTAGCTAGGATGACATCGATCATGATCCACGCAAGAAAAAGGAATAAAGGGAGAAAAACTTAAGTAAAACATCTAATGGTGCGTTTGGGAGAGCATTCCCAAAGTCCTTTAGGTCTCTAAAGGCTCTTATACCAAAGTTGAGGCATTGAGTAATACAATCACAAAGGCCTTTAGGCCAAAGTTCGGCTTTGCAAATGCTAAAAAGCCCAATGCAACTTGGGACTAGCATTGGCTATCGGCATTTCGAAAATGTTGCTTTTAGGGTTTAGTGAACTTTTTTTTTCCAATCTTGCCTTCATTAATATATCGCATTCATGTATTGCCCTCAGTTACAGTCTCTCCTCCTCTTACAGTAACTGTTTTTCACTCTAGATATGTTTGTCGATCGTTGATCGTGAGGCTCATCAAGGCTCCAAATTTGTTTGTCAAGGGTCATGAGGCTCGCCAAGGCTCTAGATCTGCTCATTGATGGTCATTCGGAGCCACTCGTCGCGACGCTTGTTGAGGTTGAGTGACCTAGGCGTTACTGTGCCTGGGGTCACATGTCCTTGAAACCCCTGCTTGGGCTTGCGGCGGCCCTCAATGGAATTGGGTCGGCCCTTAGATGAGCTCATCCAGATTTTTTTTTTTTTCAGATTGGATATTAAATTTTGTAGAATAAGTGTTTACCAAACACTATTCGCATTTTGTAAAAACCATGTACTCTAAAGTCTTTTGTATTTCTGCAAAGGCTTTTTCCCAAACGCTCTCCCAAATGCACTGAAAGTCATGTCTTGCCTCCGAGCTTTGAAGTCACCAAAAATCGTTCTTTGCTTCGATAAATGACTCTTTTTTCTCTTGCCTTCTTATTAGTAAGTTGAGTTTCACGTCATCTACCTTACTCTTAAAAGTGTCCATTTGTAGGGCTAGGGATTATCTATTTCTACACAGTCTATCTGCTTCACGTGTGTGCGGTTTGGATCAGATTTATGCATTGCCCAAATTTGTTTTTTTTTTGTTTTTTTTTTTTTTGGTAACCCAAGGAACCCCCGCACGGCCGACAGCCGGGAGGTAAACCCTGGGGGCGACACGTGCTAGCCACCACACACGTGCACCGGTTAAGTCACCCTGCGACGCCCGGGATTCGAACACTCAACCTTTTGCGAGAGGAAGAGTGCCCTTTCCAGCAGCGCCACCCAGGCGGGTGGTCATTGCCCAAATTTGTTGAAGTACGTAATTGTCGATAATTTAGACTATTAATGCTCATGCAAAATCTTGTCATTTTTCAGATATAATATGATGATAGTTTGAGTGGACAAGCGTTTTTTTTAAACATTATTAAGTTTTTACTACTTATCGAGCGTATGAGTGATCAAAGATCCCGCTACATCATGTAACAAGATTGCAGATAGATAAACTATATTCATTTTAGACTTACATACATCTTGTTGTATTATTTTCTAATTTTTCCTAGAAAAATAAAATAATGGAAGTGTCAAATACCCGATTGTAACTTTATGGATGGATGGGATTTTTACCGGCAAAAGTACATCACAAGTGCCATAACTTATGTACGACGATCACTTTGGTGCCATAACTTTTTTTCGAATCACTTTGGTGCCAAGTCGGAGCAAAAGAGATCACTTTAGTGCCAATTTGGCCAGAAATCCGACGTGGCATTTTTTATTAATTTTTTACGCCGACGTGGCTCGCCGGAGGTTGAGTCAGCGTGTACAGTCAGCATTTTTAATTTTAAATAAATTTTTTAAGCATGTACAGTCAGCATTTTTAATTTTTAATATTTTTTTTCTTTTTTTTTTCTTCTATCCTTTTTCTTTTCTTTTCTTTTTTTTCTTTTCCCTCGCCGGCTCGCCACCGGCCGGCCCGGGAAGGGCTGGGCGAGGGCGGCCTTGCCCATGGCCGGCGAGGGGCGGCCGACCCTCGCCGGCGACGGGAGAGGCCGGCCCGAGGCGAGGCCGCCTCGCCGCCCAGGGCGAGGGCGCCCTCGCCCTCGCCGGCGAGGGTCGCCCTCGCCGGATCCGGCGAGGGCGACCCTCGCCGGCGTCGGGCGAGGGTCGCCCACGCCCGACTCGGGCGAGGGCGACCCTCGCCCGCCCGGGCGAGGGCTTCCCTCTCCCGACGCCCGACGCGGGCGAGGGTCACCCTCGCCGAGATCCGACGAGGGCGACCCTCGCCCGACGCCGGCGAGGGTCGCCCGCCCCGAGCCGGCGAGGGCGACCCTCGCCCGCCCGAGCGAGGGCTTCCTTCGCCCTCGCCGGCGTCGGGCGAGGCGCAGCCTCGCTTGGGCCGACGAGGGGCGGCCTCGCCTGGCTGGCCTCTCCTGTCGCCGGCGAGGGTCGGCCGCCCTCGCCGGCCATGGGCAAGGCCGCCCTCGTCCAGCCCTTCCCGGGCTTCGCCGGTGGCCGGCCGGCCACCGGCAACCGACCGGCGAGGGGAGAAAAGAAAAAAAAAGAAAAGAAAAAGGAAAGAAGAAAAAAAAGGAAAAAAAAATATTTAAAATTAAAAATGCTGATGTATACGCTAAAAAAATTATTTAAAATTAAAAATGCTATTACACGCTGACCGAGCCTCCCGAGCCACGTCGGCGAAAAATTAATAAAAATGCCACGTCGGATTTCCGACCAAATTGGCACTAAAGTGATCTCTTTGCTCCGACTTGCACCAAAGTGATCCGAAAAAAAGTTATACACCAAAATGATCGCCGTACACAAGTTATGGCACTTGTAGTGTACTTTTGCCGATTTTTACCTGTACCAGCGAGTTGTTCTTAATCTTCGCCTGTATTGCTAAATAAGAACAGACTAATTTGCAAGATTCCAAAGCTATTATAACCGTGAACAGCTTGATATATTTTATTTTCAATCTTAAAATTGCAACCAGCTTATTTTGAAATTTTAAATTGAGATTTTAAAGGAGGTACTGAGGGTTTGGCGATGAATACTCTTATTTCCATTAATCTTCATTGGTTCATTATGTGGAAAGTACACAACGTACAAATCGTGATTGTCGTTGGCTAATCTACTTCACATTGTGAGGGGACGTAAAGCAGGTCAAGGTCTTGCACCATCTTGCTTTGCTTAGCTGCATTTTCCAATTCTTTGTTTCCAAACCAAAGAAGGGGATAAGGCAAAAGCCAACAAAACCCGGTCAACAAGAACGGAAAAATAGAGACTGGTCTACGCTCAAACATTGGAGGGCTTTCAGTTGTTCCCCTGAATTTCCTCGAAGGTGTGTAAATGAGGTGATTACGTAACAGACTTATTTTGTAAGTGATGCGATGGATAAAACCAATCACAACAATAATACTTGTACGAAGACTCGTGTTTTTCTGTCAGACTCTATGTGGAGTTCTCACGATTTCTTTTTCATGTGTTGTAAGAAATCTGAATGTCCAACTACGCTGTGTAAATTCGATTGAATGATAGACATTGATCTCTTCACTTTGTTTATGACTCTAAATAATTCTTATTGATCTTATAGCATTCTTTCTTATGGCTACTGTTCTGTAACTATATTAAGGGGATTATCATTGGCTCTTTGACTCTTCCCTCTTTCATCCGTTGACTGAGACTAGACATCAGTGTAGCAAAATGGAAAAGATAAAAAATGAACAATTTCATGCACACCCATCCATCATCTAAGGACCCTCCAAATTTCACACTTTGAAACGGGGTTACAAACCTTTGGGCTCTGCCGAAGCAATAAACAAAAGCAAACTATCACGTTTTGCTTCATGTTGAGCTGATAGATCTCTAGCTCGGACACCGGAGAGTGTCTAACCAGAAAAAAACTCTGAACGACCTTCAATTATGCCGAGACTAACCTCATCACCTCCTCCTATTCACTTCTTCTTCTGCATTCCCTGTCTCGTCTTCCTCTGCTCCCTCTTCCATTTTGCAGAGTCTCAAATCCAAGATCAAGAACAGCAAGTCCTGTTGAAACTGAGGCAATCCTGGCATGACCCATCTTCCCTCGCCCACTGGATCGCCTCCAATTCATCCTCCCACTGCACATGGCCCGAGATCACATGCCAAAATGGCTCGATCACCGAGCTCAATCTTGTATTCCTGAACATAAATTATTCGATGCCCCCAATCATCTGTGACCTCAAGAATCTGACAAAGCTCAATGTCTCCAACAACAATATTCCTGGAGAGTTTCCAACAGTTCTCTACAACTGTTCTGAGCTCGTGTATCTCGACCTGTCCCAGAATTACTTCGAAGGTCCTATTCCATCCAACATCAACCGGATGGCTAATCTTCAGGTCCTGATTCTCGCCGCCACCAGTTTCTCGTTCGACGTCCCAGCGTCGATCGCGAGGCTGCGGAAGCTGAGGATCCTTCACCTTTACATGTCCGAGTACAACGGCACTTACCCTGAAGAGATTTTTAGCCTCTCCGATCTCGAAGAACTGAGGCTCGAGTTCAACAACAAGTTCACACCGTCACAGCTACCACAGAACTTCACCGCCCTGAAGAAGCTGCAATTCTTCTCGATGGCGCAAACAAACCTGTATGGCGGAATCCCAGAGACGGTCGGTGATATGGAGGCTCTCGAGCATTTGGATTTGGGGATGAATCTACTGACAGGAGAGATCCCGGGCAGCATTTTTGCTCTGAGAAATTTGAGGGAGCTATACGTGTACATGACTAATGTGGTCGGGTCGATCCCTCAGGCCATGAGCGCAGCGAACCTGAGCGTGATCGATCTGTCAGACAATAATTTGGCGGGGACCATACCTGAAGATTTTGGGAAGCTCCAGGACCTATCCGAGTTGAATTTAGAGTTCAATCGATTGTCCGGTAGAATCCCAGAAGGTATTGGGCATCTTCCTGCTTTGAGCGATGTCAGGCTGTCCAACAACAATTTATCAGGCACGATCCCCCCGGACTTCGGCAAGTTTTCTGCACTCAAAAGGTTCGAAGTGGCCTACAACAACTTGACCGGCACATTGCCTGAACAAACGTGCCATGGCGGCACACTGATCGGGTTGGCGGTTATGGACAACAATCTCAGCGGGGAGTTGCCGGAGTCACTTGGAAATTGCAGTACTTTGTTGGTCGTTATGTTGAACAACAATGGATTCACTGGCACCGTGCCTGGAGGACTCTGGGTGTCACCGTACTTGACGTCTTTGATCTTGAGTCGTAATCGATTAACTGGCGAACTTCCCAAGGAGCTGTCCACAAACCTCACTCGGATCGAGATGAGCAACAACAGATTCTTTGGCGAGATTCCGAGTACAGTGTCTTCGTGGAGGAACTTGAGGGTGTTTGATGCCAGTAATAACCTCCTCAGTGGCACGGTTCCAACTGAATTGACCGAGCTTCCTTCTCTGACGATACTTTTGCTAGGTCAGAACGAGCTCTCCGGGAATCTTCCCACAGCTATTGTTTCATGGAAATCCTTGAGAACTCTGAATCTTAGTCACAATCGATTGGTGGGACCCATTCCTAGCGAATTCGGTTCCCTACTGGTACTTGGGCAGCTGGACCTGTCTGTAAACCAACTGTCTGGCTCCATTCCTCCTGAAATCAGCTCGCTGAAGCTGACCCTTCTGAATTTATCCTGCAACCGTCTCACCGGACGAGTCCCGTTCGAATTAGAGAACGAAGAGTTAGAGAACCCCGCATTTGAGGCCAGTTTCCTGAACAACCCCGGCCTCTGTTCATCCTATTCGTTCATGAAGCTCAATATGTGCAATTCTCAATCCCGTACCAATTTCGCCATGATCGTGATCTTGGCCATTGCCGCAGCGATGTTCGTTTTGTTGGCAGTGCTATTCACTATCAGAGCTTCCAGAAAGAAGAGGGACGGGTTCAATTCAACTCCAAAACTGATCCCATACCAAAGGTTGAATTTTACGGAACGGAATATTATGCCGGGATTGAAGGAGCATAATGTAATTGGAAGTGGCGGATCAGGGAAAGTATATCGCATTACCGTGAATCATTCTGGTGATGCTGTCGCCGTGAAAAGGATTTCGAATAACCGAAAGTTAGACGAGATGATGGAGAAGCAATTCTTAGCAGAAGTGGAGATACTTGGGAACATAAGGCATATGAACATTATCAAATTGTTATGTTGTATTTCTTGCGAGAACTCGAAACTCCTAGTGTACGAGTACATGGAAAATCACAGCCTGGGCCATTGGCTTCACAAGACAAAAAGATCGTCGCCTGTCTCAGGTGTAGCCAACAATATGATCTTGGATTGGCCCAAAAGGTTGCGGATTGCGGTAGGAGCAGCTAAAGGACTTCGCTATATGCACAGTGATTGTTCACCGCCCATCATCCACCGAGACGTGAAATCTAGCAACATTCTCTTAGACTCCGAGTTCAATGCAAAAATTGCTGACTTCGGCCTTGCAAGGATGTTGACCAAGCACGGAGAAGCTGTAACGATGACAGGTGTTGCCGGTTCTTTCGGCTATCTTCCACCAGGTTTGTCTATTCACTTAACACGAGTTCATTTCAGCTACAAAAGCTCAACTTCCTCACACCCTACCAGCAAGAATATTTAGTTTTGTCTTGCCTTTTCTTTGTTGAATAACAGAGTATGCTCATACGACAAGAGTTAATGAGAAGATTGACGTTTATAGCTTTGGGGTCGTTCTATTGGAACTGACCACCGGGAGGGAAGCTATCGACAGGGACGAAGACATGTGCCTCGCTGATTGGGCATTGCATCACATCCAAGATGGCAAGCCGATATCTGATGCAATAGATGAGGAGATCAAGGACGACTCGTACCTAGGTGAAATAAGCAACGTCTTTGAGCTTGGCATCTTTTGCACTGCGACGCTGCCTTCCATGAGGCCCACAATGAAGAAGGTACAGCAAGTGCTGCTCAAACGTAGCAATATGTCGAGAAGAAATCCGGACACAAGTTCAACGTCGCCCCTCCTCGGAAATTCCTAAAACGAGGAAAATTATTGTGTCCATTAGAGAAATAATTATCTTCCTTAATTAATTTTAATTGATTGTATTTTATGTTATAATATATTTTTTACTTTAGATAGGGCCCGTTTGGTTCAGCATTTAAAAGGGGCTTTCGAGGCCGAAAGCCCCTTTTAAATGCTGAACCATTTGGATCAGCATTTGCCAAATGCTAGCATTTGGAATGCTGAACCAAAATTTTTTTATCCCCAAACTACCCTTAGTTATTTTGGCTTATTCCGGTTTTGCCCCTCGTGTGTATTGTTCATCTTCTTCTTCGTGAGGTGGCCGGCAAGGGACGCCGGCGCCGGATCGGGCCGGCAAGAGGCCTGCGGCCATCGCCCGAGGCCGGGCGACCCTCGGCAAGGGTCACGGGACCCGGGCGGCCGCCGCACAGGGTCGCGCGACCCATGCGGCGGCCGCCTAAGTGGCGCGACCCGGGCGACGGCCGCCTAAGGTCACGCGACCAAGGCACCGGCCTCCTGGATCGCGCGACTCAGGCGTCCGCTTGGGTCCCGCGACCCTCGCCGAGGGTCACCCGGTCTCGGGCGACGGCCGCTGGCCCTAGATCTGGCCCGCCGGCGGTCGCCCGACCTCAGGCAACGGCCGCCGGCGCCAGATCTGGCTCGCCGGCTTCGGCGAAGGGTAAGTTAGGTTTTTTATTCCCAAAGTCCATTTGCAAAAATAATTCACCAAACACTATATTTTGGCCAAAGTAGCTTTATAAAATATTTTTACCAAACACCATTTGCATTTCCCCAATGGGCTTTCACCCAAAGGTATTTGCATTCCCCCAAGTAGCATTTTCAAAGTTGAACCAAACGGACACATAGTCATCCAGAACGGCCTATAACACATCAAAATATATAGAAAATTCTCCGATTCACTTTTTCACATTATTCTTAACTTGATATGAGAGCTACTTTTGTCCAAGGAAGCTGCTATTGAGTCATATGGTATTATAGCAATGTTGCCACACCCGCGTGAGTATCCGTTCGTCACCAAACCACTGCCCTTGATTGTTGTTCAGATGATCTCGTTGCTAAATTCGAAAAACAAACAACATCATCAAACTCATTATCCTCAGACAAACAAGACCCTAAAAAATTGGTCACCAACAAATTCCGGAAGCCACCGCACATCCACCACGCGCCGCCAAGGTCCACTGATGTCGTCGCCTGTAAGTGCCTTTCCATAGTCATTAGTTGGCGATTTTCTACGACAAACACCAGAAATAGATTCCTCATCCTTTAACGAGTCCAACCCAGCAAATGCCGTCGCCGGAACCACTACCACGCGCCCTCACACGCTATCCAAGTCTTCTGCGCGTGAGATCACGCACCCGAGTGTCTCTTGTGTGACAACCTCCTGCGGCTTGCCGATGTCACTATGACATCATATTTAACGGCACATTCTAGTATAACTTCAAGAAGATTTTTAGTGGAATCCATCCAGTAGACCGTTAGCTAGGAGAGTTGACATAAGCTTAAACTAAGCCAAATTACTTTAAACTTTGAGTGCACTATTCACTAATCCTGCTCATATTCATTACTACACTCCTAGATGTTATCGAAACCTCTTCATATCACTCTGTTTTTCACTGTCACACCCATATTCACTCGACAGTTCTAATTCCATATTTATTTGTTAAGTTCTTTAAAATCACCAATTCACCCTATTTAGGTGATATTGTTGGCCAATATCACAATCCAAATAGCATACAATGATTTTTTTCCATGAGTGCACAAAGCATATTAAAATAGATTATCATTTCATACACTCCCACTTGCTTCATGGTTCTGTGGGTCTTGTCGCCACTTCATCAGTTGATCCAATGGCGAAAAGATATCAACCATTAGGAAAATGTCAACTCGGTAAGTTTAAAACTTGAAAATCATCAAATATGTAATTCGGAGCATATCAGTCCCTTTCAACAATCAATATGGTGATAAATCAATTATGTCACTCTACACCATCAACGCACGTTTCAATATCTATCAATTCAATCTTAACGCATCAAACTCGGGGCAATTAGGGTCACGAAAATCATCCTTCGCACTTTTCGTATGTCACAAAATTAATAATCCACCCGAGATTCCATGCGTGCCATCCAATACTCCCAGTTAATTAATGTTTAACTTTACATCCCAAATAATATTATTGAACCTAAAAAATTCCGAATGTCATAGAAGTAATTCATAAAATTTGGGAGATAAGCTTAGCAAAACTATTTTCCCCAAGAAAAAGGAAAGGAGGGAGAAAAACAAAAGTAAAACATCTAAGGGTGCGTTGGAGAGAGCATTCCCAAAGTCTTTTGGGCCTCTAAAGGTCTTTGTACCAAAGTTGAGGCATTAAGTGACACAACCGCAAAGGCCTCCAAGCCAAAGTTCAGCTTTGTAATTGCTAAAAAGCCCAATACAACTTGGGACTAGCATTGGCTTTCAACATTTCAAAATTGCTGCTTTCGGGGTTTAATGAATTTTTTTCCCAATCTTGCCTTCATTAATATCTCTTATGCATGTGTTGCCCTCAGTTACAATCTCTCCCTCTCACAGGTACTATTTCACTCCATATCTGTTGTCAATCGCCAAGGGTCGCGTTGCCGGTCACGAGGCTTGTCAAGGCACTAGATCTCCCGTCGATGCTCACTATAGATCTATTCATCGCGAGGCTCACCGAGGTCGCACGATCCCAGTGTGGCCATGCCTGGGGTGTCTCGACCTTGGAGCCCTTAGTTGGGCTCGCGACGGCCCTCGGTTGAGCTGGGTCGGCCCTTAAGCGAGCTCATCCTAGCCTGATTTTTTTTTCTTTAAAATACTTTTTAGATCGAATATCAAAGTTTACAAAATGTGTTTACCAAGCACTATATGTGTAGTTCCAATCTGGGTCGGCCCTTAAGCGAGCTCATCCTAGCCTGTTTTTTTTTTCTTTAAAATACTTTTTAGATCGAATATCAAAGTTTACAAAATGTGTTTACCAAGCACTATATGTGTAGTTCCAATCTGACGAGGGCAGAAAGTAATCGTCATGACATGACGGCCTGGACAAGGAGCTGCTCTTGCCAAGCTTCTAGGATGGCAAAGGGGCGGGAATGAACCGAACTGTATACCGAACAAGGAGAGAACGATTTTGGGATATATATACATATGTAAAAGTTGGAATTTACTCACGGAGGCACATTTTGACGTAATGGCAAACTTTGCTTTAGAACTCCAAAGTTAAGCGTGTTCAGGCTAAAGCACTATCAGGATGGGTGACCTTGGAGAAAGATGCTAGCCTATACGCGAAAAGACAAAATCATGAGGCTCGATATGGGACGGGCCAAAGCGGACAATACCTTAGTTAGTTAATCCAAGAATGTCACAATATGATATCAGAGCGGGACCGCCTTCAATAGGTGTGTGGTTAGGGGACAAACCATGCGGAAGCTAGTGGGCTTATAACGACTTGGTCCGATGAGGGTGGGGAGTAGTCGCCGGGGCTAAAGGATCTGGACAAGGAGCAACTTCTAGTAGGTTTCTAGGATGGCAAAGAGGGCGGGAATGAACCAAACTGTACACCGATAAGAGATAGAGCATTTTTTAGATATATATGTGAAAACTGGAATTAACTTACTGAGACGCCTTTTAACGTAACAACGAGTTTTGCTTTGAAACTCCAAAGTTAAGTATGCTCAAATTATAGCACTATCAAGATAGGTAACCTCCAGTGAAGGTGTTCTCCTGTATGTAAAAGAACAAAATCACGAGACTCGGTATGGGTATGGGACAGGTCAAAGCAGATAATATCTCAGTGAGTTAATTCAGGGATATCACAATATGCATTTGTGAAAACCATCTACTCTAAAAGTCTTTTGCATTTACGCAAAAACTTTTCCCAAATGCGCGGTAGGTCATGTCTTGCCTCTTATGTTTGAAGTCAACAAAAACCGTTGTTTGCTTTGATAAATGACTCCTCTATCTCTTGCCTTCTTTTAAGCAAGTCAAATTTCATATCATCCACCCAACTGTTAAAAGTGTCCATTTGTAGGGCCAGGGACTATGGCTCTCTACAGAGACTATTTGCTTCACATGTGTGTGGTTTGGATCAGATTTATGTATTGCCCAAATTTATTGAAGCACGTAATTGCCGATAATTTAGACCATCATGTTCATGCAAAATCTTGTTACTTTTCAGATAAAGTATGCTGATAGTTTGAGTAGACAAGATAATTTTGTTGAACATCATTAAGTCTCTACTGATTGTTGAGTGCATGGGTGATTAAAGATCCTGCTACGTCATGTAACAGGATTGCAGATGGATAAGCTATATTTGTGTAGACTTACGTACATCTTGTTGTATTATTTTCCAATTTTCCTCCATAAAAACAAATAATAAATATATCAAATAAGTAATTGTAACTTTATGGATGGAGGGGGTTATGCCTATGCCAACGAATAGTTTTCAATCTTCGCCTGTACTACTACCTAATAATGGATTGATTTATATAGCTATTTCACTTAACTATAATGTAACTACGTGATGCAGAATCTATTAGTGGTGCATTTCTGGACCGGTTGGACAGGCAGAAGTCCAAATGGAAGGCAAAACGGTGATGCGACTAGAACCGGCGAACCCGGTTGACGACATCGGATCGAGCTCAAATTCGGTCGTTTGAAGTGAAACGGCGGTCTGAACACAACTCACTGCCTTTGGCTGTGACTAACGATGGATTTTAGCGATTCGAAATCGTTTACATGGGCTTTTCTATTATTTTAATTTTTTTATGGGTTTTAATTTTAAGGGCAGTTTTGTAATTTTGATATTTTATGCTTTATAGTCCTAGTAGGGTTTGGTTTAGGGATATATAAGCTTGTTTTAGGGTTCTTTTTGAGAAAAACAGAACATTATCATCAATATTGAATTTCGGGATTTCTTTCTAAACAAGATTTTGCTTTAATTACTTGCTGAACGCTGCGTCAGGTGGTATCAAAACCTATGGC